TCTATCTATCTATCTATCTATCTATCTATCTATCTATCTATCTATCTATCTATCTATCTATTTATCATCTATCTATCATCTATCTATCTATCTATCTATCTATCTATCTATCTTCTGTTATCTGTCTATCATATCATATCATATCATATCTATCTATCTATCTATCTATCTATCTATCTATCTATCTATCCAGTCATCCATCCATCCCACTACCCACCCACCCATCCACCCACTAACACAAAAGTCTATGTTGCTGTGGTAATCAATAAGGAAGTAATACACATCTCCCTGGTCCTTTCCCAGTTACTTCTGGCAGAGGTCAAGTTTGGCAATGTGTATAGGGAACCTCCTAACCTGTGTCTTTTTTTCCTGCAGACTCCATCTGGTAGCCGGCCTGAAAGCAGTGTGGATTTGCGTGGGGCCCGTATTGAGTGGGCCCGGGATTTGTCCAGCAAGCGGAATGTCATCTATGTAAGTGTGGGAACCCCAGCCCATCTTGACCTAAGGTATTTGGAGTGAGACTTCATGCAGCTGACTAGCCTTGCTTGTCCCAATATAAGTTTCTCAATTCTTCAGAACTGACTCACAATGGTCCTGTTTTAAATCAAGATAGTTGGTTAATATACTCTGGTTTCTCTGGCTGTACTTCACTATAATTCCAGGTTCAGTTGTAACACTAAGGTATCCTTTCCTGGTTTGTTCACCTGCCCATAAGTAGAGGAACATAGCAGGAACAAGGGATTACATGAAGCTGTTGTCATAATTATTTAAAATTAAATTAGGATTCCTGCTATAGTCTTAGCTGGTGAGGATCAATTAGAAGAGCGTGAGATTATGTTAAGTGAAATTGTTGTCTCATCCAATTTGTTCTCTCTTCTTTTCTTCTTAGTTTCGCACTGTGACTGGCAATGAGTATCTCTTGCAATCAGATAATGAAGCTGTGAGCCAGGACTGGTACCAGGCAATCAAAGGGGTCATCCACAGACTAGTGAGTGAAAGTTATCTCAGTCGTTTCCTTTCTTCTTTGAAATATTGATATAGAATAAAAAGCTCTTCCTAAATTCTTTCACTCCGTCCGGGATGGGGATTGCTATCCAGCTAACTTTGCCCAAATGGCAAGCAGCCTGGAGCCTTCTAGACTAAAATCTCCTCTGGTTTTTGCCTGTGGGTGGGTGCCTTCAAGTCAGTTTTGACTCTTGACAAATGCATAGACAATATTATATAGGGTGTTTTGTTTTTTTTGGCAACCTAGGGTTCAGGGAGAGTGACTGACCCAAGTTTATTTTTATTTATTTTTTATTTATTTGATTTGCCAATTGTTTACAAGATAATTGTTTATAAGTATAAGTGTATACATAGTTGTGAATACATGAAATGGGTACATATAAGAAAAATAAAAGAAGAATAAGAGAAACAATAGGACAGGGACGGTAGGCACGTTGGTGCGCTTATGCACGCCCCCTAGGCTGGCTTCCTTGCTGGGTTACAACTCACACGCTCCCAGTTTTAGTCTTGTGTCTTAACAACTACACCAAACTGGTTTGGAAACTCCCATCATACCTTATAATTGTTTGTGCTTTAATTGGTGTTAATGGGCATCAAAATCCCCCATGTTTATACAATGCTAGGTTGCCAACCCTTCCTCTACAAAGTTTAGGACTACTCCCATGGAAGACAGAAGGTCTTTGTTTCAGGTTTAGAACATGCTTGAACTCATTATGTCTTCGGTGAGAACCTATTGCCCCAGAAAGCAAAATCTATTGGGAGGAGGGCACATCTTTGTAATAAATAAATAAATTATAATGTAAGTGGAGCCAAAGGCATTCTACTCTCTATTTCTCCCTCATGCACATGAAGGTATATGTGCAACAATCATTCTTTGTCTCTGTCAGTCAGTCACTCACTCTCTCCCCTCTTGTTTCTGGTCTTGTTAAAAGTATTCAACTGATTTTGATGAGAGCTCAGAATGAGTGGAATGGTGTTCAGTGCTGTGCACAGCCCCTTCTCTCCCCCACACCCACCTCCATATTTATCTGGAGCTCTTGATCAGGGATGGACTCTCATTGACTTGGGTGTGATACATCCCTGGGGGACTCTCCTGGAACACTGAGAAAGTGGGATTAACGTTGAAGATGAAGCATTAATTCTTCCTTAAGGCTTCCAGCTTATCACACATAATTGGACTGATATGTTTAGGATTTCATAATGACGTGCCATTGTGATAAACCCAGGGCAGAAGAGGGAGAGAAGTCCTTTGGGGTTATTTGGTGGTACACATGAAGAACTACAAAATCAATAAAGGACAGACCACAAAAAGGACCCTGTGCACGGTTTGTCCTTTATTGAGCTTGTAGTTCTTCATGCGTACCATCCAATGTTTTATCTCTCTCTCTCTCTCTCTTCTCTCTTCCTCTATTTTCATTCCCATTCTCTCTCTTTCATTCTCTCTCACATTCTCTCTTATTCTCTTTCTCTTCTCTCTCTCTTTCATTCTCTCTCTTTTATTCTCTCTCTCCTCTCTCTCTTTCATTCT